ACTTCTTCCAACACAGATCTGTTGGTTCTTTTGGCAGCCCATGGTATATTCAATATTGTCCTCCAAAACCATAACTCAAAAGCATCACTTCTTCTACGGTCTTCCTTATTCAATGTCCAGATTTCACATGCATGTGAGGTTATTGAAAATACCATGGCTTGGGTCAGGCACCCCTTAGTCCTCAAGCAGACTGACATCTTTGCTCTTCAAGACTTTAAAAAGGTCTTGTGCAGCAGATTTGCCTAATGCAATACAGCATTTGATTTCTTCACTGCTGCTTCTATGTGTGTTGATAGTTGATCCAAGAAGAATGAAGTCCTTGACAACTTCAATCTTTTCTTCATTGATAAGAATGCTGTTTATTAATCCAGTAGTGAGGATTTTTATTAGGAAATTTATAATTTTGTATAGTCCTTGATTTAAAAAAAAAATCTAAAAAATGGTCTTCTTTAATGTTGATTATTTGCATCATCAATTACTTTGCAAATAACAAATGTATATACTTCTGTAGGGAAAGCATAATGCAGTGGTTAGGTGGAAGAATCTTGAACTCACACTTCCAACCTGAGTCCCAGTTCCATCACTATGTAGCAATGTGACTTGAGCTAAATTAGTTCATCTCTTTGTGCCGCAGTTTACTCAGAGTATCAAATAAGTTATAACATGACTGAAATGTAACAAGTACATCAAATGTTAGATATTATCACTGTCATCATATTCACTTTTTTTTCTTTGGGTTCTAAACTTATATAAAAGAAAGACTCTACATTAATGACTTCTAGTTGACTGTTAATTAATCAATTCCTGTTTTCATGTATATTTAGGATTTTCCCTCATATATATTATTTATAGATCCATATGTGGTATATATGTATGGGTGTACATGTATACACATTGTTGTTGTTGTTGTAATGTGCTGTGGAGTCAGTTCCGACTCATAGCGGCCCTGTACAGGGTTTCCGAGGCTGTAATCTTTACGGGAGCAGAAAGCCTCATCTTTCTCCCGCAGAGCAGCTGGTAGTTTCGAACTGCTGACCTTGCTGTTCGCAGCTCGATTTGTAACCACTACGCTACCAGAGCTCCTTACACATTAGAGAGAAAAAAAGAACAAAAATATATTTGAGACAAAACAATACAAACAATAAAATTAACATGATCAATTTGAAACCCTTATCCTTAGAATCAACCTTTCATGATCATAAAAGGTCACATTTAGACTTTCTAAAGAAATCCACTTTTAAACAGTTGGTATTAGAGCTTGAGCTTCTTTAGATATTGTGTTACTTTCAATTTGTGTTCTTAATACATTCATGCATGATATAATCTTGTTCCTTAGAAAGGATTTTAAGCAAGAACCTTCTTCCTTAAATTCTGAGACATCATCAGGCCATCTTGCTTCCTGGGCCAGTTTTTTCTAATGTCAGTTTTATGAGGTAGTCAATCAACAGCTTGGCAGAAAACAAAAGTCAAGGACTTAACTTTCTTAAGCATAAGTCATCCTTCCAAGGTAGTTAGCAGGCACATATCCTTTCTGTCCTTGAGCTTCAGCTAACCACCACTCTTTATTGCCACTTAGGTCACAAAATCTGAGTATATGGACTCTTTGGTACTCCTGAAGGCTGAGTTCATGGTCACTCCGTGCTTGAAAGGCATGAACAGCATAGAAAATCTAGACAAAGAAACATGACATTAGAATCAAAATGTAGACAAATACTATAAAGGCATCTGAGTTTTCAGAAGCAACTCTAAAGTTTTCTCATTTTATCAAAACCGTATTGCCCAACTTGTTCTGTTGGATTTATTTTGTAAAAGAAGGGTCCAGAAGAACGTAGAGCGAAATAAAATTTTTTGCATCTTGTTTGAAGGAGTCTGTGGCAGTGCAGGTTAATATGCTGGACTGCAAAGTCGGTTTGAACTGCAAGGTCGGTAGCTCAAGCTCACCAGCTGCTCCTCAGAAATGCTACAGAATCACTATGGGTTGGAACCAACTCAACAACAACAAAATGTCCATACTTGAAGGTAATTTGGCGATTTCTGTTTTTGTTTTTAAGCTTAATTCCTTTCGAATCAATAATAGCTCTCAAAATCTCTTCTATAGAAAGAGAAACAATTTGACAGAGAATTTTTTACAATTTTACTGTAATACCCATTTTTAAGGTGTGTAGTGGGGATGGGGGAGGACAACACTAAAGATTCACCACAAGGAAATTAGTTAAATTGACCATCATATTATAGAAATACGTAGGCACAATAAATTGTGTTTCCTGAGATTAATAATAGGTAGAAGAGCTTAAGGGAAAGTATGAACCAGGAAAAATAAAACAAAACAAGAATGAAAGTAACATCTACAATAGTCTAATATTATTAAATAGGTTCAGTGTGTGGTGGGATATAGGAGACAGTCATTTTTACTTCATTGTTGCTTACTTTATTTCAAAATAATAACGATGTACTACATTTTTAATTTTATTTTAAGTGAATGAATAAATAATAGAATTATTTCAATCAAAAGAGTTTTCCTCTGCCCTCAAAAGAACAATTCATAATTTTATGATGACTCCAAATCAGCATTTTGTCCCTCTTCCACATATCATAAGACTGGTAATAAATACACACACACACACACACACACACACACACATATATATATAATATTAAGGAGCTCTGGTAGCATAGTGGTTATGAATCAGGCTGCTAACCTCAAGGTCCGTAGTTCGAAATTACCAGCAGTTCTGCGGGAGAAATATGAGGCATTCTGCTCCTGTGAAGATTTACAGCTTCAGAAACCCTGTGCAGGGTCACTATGAGTCGGAACCGACTCCACGGTACTTAACAACAACAAAATATGTATTTTGGTATAAAATTAACTAATTGATTGTAGTTGTTGTTAAGTGCCTTCGAGTGAATTCCAACCCATTTTTGTTGTTGTGAAGTGCCGTTGACTCGGTTCTGACACATAGCGATCCTGAATAGGGTTTCCAAGGAGCAGCTGGTGAGCTTGAAGCACCAACCATGCAGTTCAAACAGCTTTGCAGTCTGAGGCATTAACCCACAGTACCACACCAGGACTCCAATTCCAACCCATAGCAACCCTTTATAGGGTTTCCAAGGAACCTTGAACCACCAACCTTGCAATTCAAATGACTTTGCAGTCTGACACATTAGCCCACAGTGCCACAATATTTATTCATTCGTTCTTATTAAAAATATATATCTAACATGAACCAAATACCATCAAAGAACTTAACAAACCAGGGGGAAAATCCAGAGAAAGAAAACAAACTCTACACACACACGTTGTTGTTAAGTACCATCAAGTTGGTTCCAACTCACAGCAACACTTTGTACAACACAACAAAACGCTGCCTGACCTTGCACCATCCACAGAATCTTTGCTATGTTTGAGTCTTTGTAGCAGCCACTGGTGTCAATCCATCTTGTAGAGGGTCTGCCTCTTTTTCATTGACCGTATCTATACTTTAAGGAGCTCTGGTAGCATAATTGGTACGAATCGGGCTGCGAACCGCAAGGTCGGCAATTCGAAATTACCAGCTGCTCCGCGGGAGAAAGATGAGGCTTTCTGCTCCCGTAAAGATTTATAGCCTTGGAAACCCTGTTCAGGGTCGCTATGGGTCGGAACCGACTCGATGGCACTTAACAACAACAACAACAATTCTCCTTGTCCTGGTGTGGCGCTGTGGGTTAATGCACCAGATTGCAAAGCCATTTGAACTTTAAGGCCGGCGGTTCAAGCTTACCAGCACCTCCTCGGAAACCCTATACAGGGTCACTATGGGTCGGAACCGACTAGTTGGCACTTAACAACAACAACACTTTATTAAGAAGGATTTCCTTCTCCAGAGACTGGTCCCTCCTGAGAACTTTCCAAAGTAAGTAAAAAATCTCGCCATCCTAGCGTCTAAGGAGTAATCTAGCTGTATTTCTTCTAAAACAGATTTCTTCATTCTTATAACAGACCATGGTAATTTCAATATTCTTTGCAATTACTATAATTCAAATGCATCAATTTTTCTTTGGTCTTTTTTATTCAATGCCCAGCTTTCTCATGCAACTGAGATAATTGAAAATACCATGATGGGATCAAGCTCACCTTAGTACTCAAGGTGACATCTTTGCTTTTGAACACTTTGAAGAAGTTTTTTGAAGCAGTTTTGTCACATGCTATACAGCATTTGACTGCTGTTTCTTTCCATGGGTGTTGACTGTGGATCAAACTAAAAAAAAAGTACTTCAATCTTTTCTCCATTTATCATGATGTTGCTTATTGGGCCAGTTGTGAGGATTTCTGGTTTATGTTAAGATGTAATCCAAACTGAAGGCTGTAGTTTATTACATCATCAGTAAGCATTTCAAGTCCTTTCAGTAAGCACTCTCAGGTTATTAACGAGTCTTCCTTCAATGTCGATGCCACATTCTTTATCATATTGAACACCTTCTGGGATTTATTCAGCATATAGATTGAATAAGTATGCTGAATGAGTACAACTCAGATGCATACCTTTCCTGATTTTAAACCATGCTGTATCCCCTTGTTCTGGAATTCTGTAATTCCATCCATAATTTCTTATAATCCACAGCACTGAGGTATTTTCATAGTCCATAAAATACAAATAAACATCTTTCTGGTATTCTCTACTTTCAGTCAAGATCCATCTGACATCAACAGCAATACCTCTTCTCCCAAGTTCTTTTCTGAATCTGGCTTGAATTTCTGGCAATTTCTTGTCAATGTGCTGCTACTACCATTTCAAATGATCTTCAATACAATTTTACTTATAAGTAATATAAATGATATTGTTCATTAATTTCTGCATTCTTGGATCACTTTCTTTGGAATGTATGCAAATAGAGATCTCTTCTAGTTAGTTGGCCAGATAAGTGCTCTTCAAATTTCTTGGTCTAGATGAATGAGTGCTTCCAGTATTTCAACTGTCTGTTGAAACATCTCAGTTGGTATACTGTCAATCCCTACAGTTTAGTTTTTTGTCAAGACCTTCAGTGCAGCATGGACTTCTTCCTTCAATATCATCAGTTCTTCATATACTATTCTGAGGAATGGTTGTACACTGACCAATTCTTTTTAGTACAGTGCTTCTGGGTATTCTTTCAATCTTCTTTTGATACTTAGCATAGTGATTACGAATTGAGCTGCGAACCTTAAGTCCAGCAGTTCGAAACTACCAGCCGCTCTGCGGGAGAAAGACGAGGCGTTCTGCTCCCCATAAAGATTTACAGCCTCAGAAACCCTGTACAGGTTCGCTGTGGGTTGGAACCGACTCGACAGCACTTAACGACAACAACAACATGTTATTTAATATGTTATTTGTGGTTGTTATTGTTAGGTGCCATCAAGTCAATTTCAACTCATAGCGACCTTATGCACAACAGAACAAAACACTGCCCAGTCTTCCACCATCCTCACAATTATTAAGCTTGAACCCATTGTTGCTGCCACTGTGCCAGTCCATCTCATTGGGGTATTTCTCTTCTTCTCTGACCTTCCACTCTACCTAGCATGATGTCCTTCTCCAGGATCTGGTCCCTCCTTAAAATAGATGTGAAGTATGAGACAAGTCTCACCAGCCTGGCTTCTAACAAGTATTCTGGTTGTCCTTCTTCCATCACAGAGTTACTCTTTTGGCAGTTCATGGGATTTCAATATTCTCCTCCAATACCATAACTCAAAGGCCTCAATTCTTCTACAGTCTTCCTTATTAACTGGCCAACTTTCACATGCTTATGAGGCTACTGAAAATACCATGGCTTGGGTCAGACACACTTTAGTCGTCAAACTGATACGTTGGCTCTTGAACAGTTTAAAGAGGTCTTGTGCAGCAGATATGCTTAATGCAATATATTATTTCTTAACTGCTGTTTCCATGAATGGTGATGGTGAATCCAAACAAAATGAAGTTTCTGACAACTCCTATCTTTCTCAATTTATCATGGTATTATTTATTGTTTCAGTGGTGAGAATTTTTGTTTTCTTTACACTGAGGTGCAACCCATACCAAAGACAGTGGTCTTTGATATTCATCAGTATTTCAAGTCCTCTTTGCTTTCAGCAAGCAAGGTTGTATCATCTGCATATCACAGTTTGTTAATGAGTCTGCCTCCAACCCTGATGCCATGTTCTTTTTTATATAATCCAGCTTCTTGAGCTATTTGCTCAGCATACAGATTGAATAAGCATGGTGAAAGAATACAATCCTGGTTTACTAATTTTAAACCATTCAGGGTCCCCCTTGTTCTGTTCAAACAACTGCCCCTTGATCTATGTACTGGTTGCTCGTGAGAACAATTGAATGTTCTGGAATACTCATTCTCTGCAATGTGATTTACAGCTTGTAATGATCCACAAAATAGAAAGCCTTTGAGTAGTCAATAAAGCACAGGTAAGCATCTTTCTGGTATTCTCTGCTTTCAGCCAAGATCCATCTGATATCAACAATGATATCCCTCATTCCACATCCTCTTCTGAAACTGGCATGAATCTCTGAAAATTCTCTGTCAATATATGGTTGCAGCTGTTTCTGTATTACCTTTAATAAAACTTTACTTGCATGACATATCAGTGATATTGCCTGATGATTTCCACATTCCTTTGGGTTACTTCTCTTTGGAATGGGCACAAATATGGTGCCCAGT